TGAGAAGGAGGACGCCTGTGATGCACTGGGAGAGATCGCCTTCAACACAGGGTAAGATTTTTAACAGTTTTTACACATTATATAACAGGATTCTGGCTCAGCCTTTATATTATATTTACTGCTACGCTCACACATTGTATTGTTATATTATTCATGTATGCAGCTATGTCCTTAATTAAAGGTCAGAACTGCAGGGATGATTTATAGTTTAAATATTTTTTTCTGATTCAGTCATATGTTCTTCAGAAGCCTGTATATTAATATCAGTGGGTAGTTTTGAACTTGTTGCTGTGCTTTCCTCTGACAGAGCTGCCTTTCAAGCTTTCCTGGAGTCGAGCTTCCAGCAGGTTTACGAGATGAGAGATGTAAGTCACTGCGTCAGGTTGTTTGGTCAAACCTCCGCTCTTTCTCTAATGCTCTGTTTTGGGCACATTGTTGTCGGTATTTGTGTTTACATCCTGTCTGTGTCTGAGACTTTTAAGTTCTGATCTTGCAACATGTTCTTTGTTCTTATGCAAACACTGACCTTTAAATGCTGTATAATATGACTTCTCTAAATTAATAATCTGTTATTCTGTTATTTATTTATAAGGGGGTTGAAATTTAAGGAATGAAAAATTTCGCATGTTCAGTTAAATCCAGTGAGAACCTGGTGGGAATGTTGCCTTCTTGCACATTTTGAGCCAGAGTGTGTGCCTTAGTGATGGAGGGATGGAATAATGGTAGCAAGACCCTGTCAATGCACACGATCAATCGATTGTGAGTCAGTCTCAGCAGTCAATCATGTTTCTGTTTTTATCATCACAGCATAAAAGCCTAGCCACACTATCCACGTTGCTACAACTTGATGCTTTTCTATGCTCCCTCACTTCTCTACCTCCCTAGTTTCCCCATGAAGATGTCCGCAGGGCAGCATTTGGAGCCATGGGCCAGTTCTGTCGAGCTCAGCACAAAGCGTGGAAGGAGAATCCCACTGAGGCCAACCATCAGGGTAAAGCTCTACTCTCAGGAAGTCTACACTGCTGATATTATTATTAATAGGAAATGCAGAAATGTGCAGAGCTGCTCTTCGCTGCAAACATTAATGTGTATGTCAGCTAACTTAAAGGTTTCCTTATTTTCTGAAACTGTCCAACAGGTATCAATGTATTTGCCTTCAGCTAATTTGAACTTTATTCCATCTCTTAGCCCTCCTGAAGCTGCTGGACATGGTGCTGCCTTGCTTTCTGGAAACGGTTCGGACAGAGCAGGAGCGCCAGGTCGTGATGGGGGTCCTGGAAACCATGAACAACGTTATCAAGTCCTGCAAGGAGGAGGTTTTCAAAAATCCGTCCCGCCTAAAGGAGATCAGCTACATCATCCGCGATGTGCTGAAGAAGAAGGTGAGAGACTAAAGGGGATCCGGAGATGACGTCATCTGCCAAAGCTACAACTGATAAAACTGATTCAAATGCAAAGCTAGTTGCTAATAACCCTCTGCTGTGGTTCCTTCTTTCTTTTCTGTCTGTTCAGATGGTTTGTCAGGATGGTGGTGCTGATGAAGCTGATGATGAGGAACAACAGGTGAAACACATCCTCAATGCTTCTGAACATTTAATATCAAGATTTTTTATTTCTCGTTTTTAGAATGATTCAAAGTCAATATTTTGTTGAAGAACCTTTGGCAACAAGTGTCAGGGAACCCTTTTCCTGTCATTTCAATTTCATCTGCCACTCTGGGTGCATGTGTTTCATGTCCAAATCCCTGCCAGACAACTCTGCATGCTTTTTGTTGCAGGCGGAGTATGACGCCATGCTACAGGAGTTTGCCGGGGAGGGGATTCCCCTAGTGGCCGCTTCTGTCCCTGCAGACAGCTTCGCCCCATTCCTCAATGACCTGCTGCCTCTGATCATGAGCAAAGCTGTGAGTCTGGACGCCCAGACAAGTTTTCAAATCAGTTTGCTCCACTGATTTTTCCAGAACTATGTCATACTGCCTGTTTTGGTCAGTAGCAGAGTGACATTTGTTTTTGTTCAACAGAAATCCTCGTGCACGGTGGCAGAACGCTCCTTCTCTGTGGGCACTATTGGGGAAATCCTGCAGGCCCTTGCGGGTGTATCTGGGGGTAGAGGAGTGGCGGGGCGACTGTCCAACCGTCTGCTTCCTGTGCTGGTAGCTGGAGTGAGGGACAGTGATGCAGAGGTTCGCAACAACAGCGTGTTTGGACTGGGATGTCTGGCCCAGGCGGCTGGACCCATTGTTGTAACGTATCCTTTCACCCGTTTGCACTTCTATTTGGAGTTAGCGCTGTGATATAATACTTTTCTAAGGTTTCCTTAGCTAATTGTATACCAGAGATTTTCCGATGATGCTGTCGGTGTTTTCCAACATGCTGACCAAAGAGTCAGACCTAAGGGTGATCGACAACCTGTGTGCTGCCCTCTGCAGGATGATCTTGAGTAATGTAGAGGCTGTCCCTCTGGAGCAGGTACAGTTACAATTTACTCTGCTCATTCAAGATGTCTCTATCTCTACCAGTGAGCAGGACATTCAGCTAACGACAGAATTGTTTGTTGAGGCCAATCTGCTGGTGTGCTCTGTGACAGGTGGTTCCTGCTCTGGTGGCTCGTCTCCCTCTTAAAGAGGACCTGGAGGAGAACAAGACGGTGTTCAGCTGCCTGGCCATGCTCTACACACACAGTCCTGATCTGGTACAGTACACAGCTCATTTACACTCACTATTAACATCCCCACTGCAGAGAGAGAGTGTGTTGAGATTCTGACTCTACTGGGAAGCTTGACAAAAAAAAAAGATTAAAAAAAATAAGGATGTTTCAGAGAGAAATAAACGAGACTGAAGGAAAAATGTGCAATATATTTATATATAAGGAGCTTTTTCTAGAATTTAGATGAACAATTAAGACAATATTTCTGTAATTCTTTGATTAAATATTTTAAATTTTACATTCCTGCATTCTACCACTTATGCATACAGCATTGTGATGATGTCATCCTCAACAGTCTGTCAAACATCACATGCTTGGATTACAAGTGTGCCTGTAAACAATTTGTATCTGGAGTCATAAACATGTGGATTTTTCTTCAAGAAGCTTCATAGTTATGTCAGTCTGGTAGTGAAATGGTGTCTTTTGATATCACGTGCTTCTTGAATTTTTTATTATTTTCTGTATTTCCATGGCAACAAGTTTGACTTGGTCAAATTGAGTCGATTCTCACCTCAGAAATGTCACGCATTTTTCTGTTTACAGAGGATATGTCACATCTCCTGATGACTTGTTTTGAATATTCTTTTTTCCTTTTCAGGTTTTGAAGTTAATGAAGCCCATAGTTGCTGCATCCAGTCATGTGTTGGGCAACAAGGAGGTTGATGAAGGTGAATATTGTTGCTTAAAATTTTAAATCATAATGCAAGATATGAAGCATGGAAACTGAAGAGTGTAAAGACAGTGTGTATAGTTTATTTTAATGTTTACTCTCACTGAAATCCACAGTGAAGACTCTGCAGTTTTCTATCTGTATCACTGCTGGTTTTCTGCTTTCACACATGCACGGATGTCCAGACATTTCCCTGAAGTGGAAGAGTCCAAAATATGAATGAAAGAGGTTTAATACATATAGAAGACACAAAGATATCAACTTGGAAGGACAAAGACATTCTAGAGCTGTTGGTGATAAGAGCTGACAGAATTTCTCAAGCAGGGACAGCAAGAGACTCATTTATGACCAAATTGCAAACATATGTGTGAAAGTGATATCATAAAAACAAAGGCTAACTGAAAGGAGCTTAAAGCTGGTGTTACTTTAAATTGTCATGTTCTGCCTCCAGATCCAGTTTTCCCGACTTGAGTTCACGTCTGAAAACCAGCTTGTGTCTCTCGTCCACAGAAACCCAGAACACCGTGGCCTTGCTGATGAGGGAATTTGCTCAGCGCCACTCTGCAGACTTCCAATCAGCTGTGATCTCTCTGGCTGGAGAGCAACAGGCCAAACTCAGCGCTGCCATCTCTGCAGCGTAGCCGACAAGGAGGCCAGCCAAAACAAATTTTTATACTGGAGGTGTTAAAAGGGACTGTTGTTGCTAATGGATCCCTAAAAACTGATCTCAGCACTTCAGATATCTACAATAGCTATTATTACCCTCAGCAGTTCTCCCTTGAAGTTTCAACAGTTAATTTATTTACTTATTTGCATGCCCGTTCTGAAGTTTGGTTATTTTAAGACTCCCTCTTTACCATCCTTTGGTTACATTTGTATTTTGTTTTCTTGTCATTCCTGCAAAGCACTACTAAGAACTGCTACTGCCTTGTTGCTGCTGTTCACACAGATCTCTGTTTTGCTCCAAATGTGAAGCAATAAATTTGATCTCCTGTTAAATATAATATTTCATTCCCTGCCACCATCTGTAGCCAGAGACTGCATGGATTCTCCACTTGTTCTGCTTTACTCAGATTCATCTGCTGCTTAAGAAGGGATTAATCTAATGGCACAACATCTCAGACGTGTGCTCCCGTGAACTCCGGTGGATATTTAGTCATGAAAACCCTCAGAGCTCTCTGGACACATTAGAACTCATAGTTAACACTATTATTATTTAACTGCTTTCTGTAGCTTTAGGAAACTTTTAATGGTGAGCAGCTCAACCTGTGACCATGTGAAGCTCAAGTTTGTTTTTTTTGTCGTACTGCACCCTCGTCTCACAGAAATGCCTGACAGGACATTTGTCTGAAACGTTCACTGGGACTCAAATAAACTGATGTAGGATTGATGGTCAAAGGTCAAGGTCCCTGTAACGGCCATTACTCAAACATCCACATGGTAATTACGACAAAATTTCACACGTGTCTCAAGAGGATGAAATGATGAAGGGATGAGGTGTTACACCTAAAAAGTCAAAGGTCAACTTCACTGTGACATCATCATGTTCTGTAGAAACCTGTTATTGAAGGGTTTCAATACAGTAACGGGAGAATGTAACAATATTTCACATTAGGTCAGTTTGTGGTTTAAGATAACATTTTAATTGAACTGGATTTCAGTCATTCTGAATGATGAAAGCTGGACAAATCTGTGTGTGGCGTCCACATTTGAAGTTTCATCCTCTGTTATGGTTCCATCAGAATCAGCTTTATTTGCTGAACACTTTACATCGTATATATTTCAAGAGTTGGACAGACTTAACTATACAAACGTGTCCTGCCACACAATCGACAAGTGAAAGAGATTCTTTTTCTTTTTATAAATGCAACAATTTAGGAAAAAAATAAATAATCTTTCAATTCAGGCAGATTTAAAACTTACACATTCGACCTGGTGTAGAATGAGACACTTTGAATCCTCTAAACAAATGCAAACTTTGCCTTGGATTAGTTAAACAACTATGTTAACCTCCTTCTAAAGATGAAGCAAATGTGCAGCTCAGTGATTTATAGCGAAACACACACACACCCAGGTCTGAGATGTTTCTCTTCAGATATCCCTCTGTCCGTGCGCCTCAGTCGAGTCCAGCTGCTCATTTTCCACGTCCAAAGCCATCGTCATCTGCACGGGTGTCAATCCATTGTCTGACACAGACACAGAGAGGTGTTTGTAAGCCCACTGATACCAGTATGTACTCATGAAGACATAACCACACATTTGATGCTTGGCGTGTGGTTTGTTTTATCACTACCTGTCTAACTGTACACAGTAGAAACATGCAGATAAACAACCTGCAGCAGTCCTATAAATACAATCAAGCTCAGCCAAATTTCACACACTCTAGTATACACTGATGTCATCTTTGGGATGATGTCATTTCATTTCCTCAGGGTGTAGCACACTGCTGTGATCCACATCAGTGTGAGAGTTCACACATTTCCTCAGACCAACTCACCTTTTGGTTGCACTAAAACAATTACCTACATTTTATGAAGCCACACTAACAACAACTGACGCACAACCCCCCCCGGCAAACTAAGAGTAAAATAACTTCAGGTTAATAAATCAGTAAAAGCTCTCTGCGGACCTGTGTATCTCTGTTTCCAAGGCAGGATGTTCATTCCAGTGCGACAGAAGGAGCGGTCAGTGTGGGCCTCAGTGCTGTACAACACCTCCTGGAGCTCTTCATCTCCGGGCCTCTGGGCTTTCACTCGCACCTACGAGAAGAAACCAAATGTCTTTTTTGTTCTTTTACTACTTCCTCATTCTTTTGTAGAAACAGAATTTTTGGATTCCTGTCATCTCTAAGTCGTACCTCCAGGATGGTGATCTCCTTCTCCTTCAGCTTCCCTGCTTTGTTCTTCACCTGCGTCTTCTTGGTGTCGACCCACACCACCCTCTCCTTCACCTCTGACCTGCACGCACACACATTTATATTGAAATCTACCTGAAACATCTTTCTTTATGCAGGTTCCTCACAGCACACTCACTCCTCGATGCCCAGGTCAGCCAGTGTCGTGTCCAGGAAGGGGAAGGGTTGGTTTGCGGGGTCAGGTTGCACCTGCACTGGCAGCGTCACTGCCATGGGGATGTCCCACTCCAGCTCAACGCGCACCAGCTTTCCGGGGCACTCCCTGTCTGCTGGGCTGTCCCGGCCTCCGGCACCATCTCCCTCCACCGGCAAGCTCTTCGTCTCATCTGCCGCCAGCTTGATGTTTGGATCACTCTCAAAAATCAAAAGAAAAGAAGGGGACGTATCCCTTTGCCTCTTCTCTCGTCTGATCTCTACCTCTGAGACTCCTGAGCCTTTTCTCTGTAAACACCGTCCTGCTCTGTTCTGCTCTCAGGGCCGATGATTCAAAGCTTGATGCGTCTGGAGAGAATGAGTGTCATACACACAGACCCATGCTTTGCCCTCCTGGCTGATATAAGCAGCTGGTGAGGATGTGTGTTATGTGTCGCTCACATGTGAGTTTCATTAGGCTGTCAGGAGGCTGATGGACAGATGGCAGTGTTTGTGTTATCAGTGTGAGTGTGTTTGAGTGTGTTTCGGCTGTAAATTGAGGTGCTATGTGCTCTGATGTTCTACACATGAATATTTATGACTTAAAACTGACAAACAGATACATTTGCCCACACAACATATGAGAAAACGTCAAGCGGTCACTTGAGGTTCAGCGTGGACGACACATTTATGACTGTGTAATGAGATCATCTCACAAATCTCCACCTCTGCTCATCACTGTCTCTCCTCCTGACAGTTTAGGTGAACAGGAAGTTGATTTATGAGACGTCACACCTCATTTTTAGTTGTTCTGAAACAAACAAAGCACTCAGCACACGGGTAGGACATGTGTGTTGTCTGCACTGCAGGGGTCTTACACTATAATACCACAATAAACACTCACACAGACTGACGCCAGCAGGGGGGTGATGTACAGTTTGGATGATGTAAACAGTCTGTTAGTGTTTGAAGCTGAAATAACTGAGGAGACACAATAGGGGACAAAATAGTCGACCTCTTTGAGATGCTGTAGTTTTGTAACAGAACATTACATGTCAGTGAGAATGACGTTTCCTGACATACCGGCACAACCTGAATGCATCACAAGTCGTATCAACACAATGACTGTGTGTTGATATAAATCAGGATGAGTGTCCCTATGGCTGCAGCTAAAACCTCAGCTCAGGCCTCTCAGTCACAATGAGGTGCCAGTGTGTGGTCCAATGTACACACACACGCTCTCACAGTGAAATCAGCAAGCACGTTATTGTTAAATTATTGAGGCATGAGGTGAGGAAGGAACTGTCTGATGGGGAGCAACATCATGGTCCTAGTGAGACACGACGGAGCTGATATTCTCAAACCACCATTGTTTTGATGCTGGAGATTTAACTCTGCTTTTTACCTCAGAAGAACAATTTTAAGCCTCAACTTTAGTGACATCATATCCGAAATACCCCAATCAAATCCAAAAAGTCTCGGGTCTGAGTAAGAGTAATGTCAAAGATCATATTTTCCACTGAGCATGAAAATCTTTAATAAAAAAGTAAAATAATTGAAAGGCTAAAAATTCACACAGCAGATATAAATTGTGAGGTTAAAAACCACACAAAATGTACAATAAAGCCAACAGGTTCTTTGAGACGTTAAAAACTTCAATAAAAACATGTAAAGATCTTTAAACACCATTAAAATGTGTAAAAATGTTTAAACTCACAACATGAACAAATCCAAACCGTATTAAAATAGGTTAAAAACTTTAAAAATGTAAAAATAACACTGGAAAGAAGCAAATGAATGCGCCTCAATTATACTCAATATTAAAATTCATAAAAAACATTAAAAAAGAATGAACGCATGTTCACGTATGAGTGGGAGAACCGATGATCTCATGTGTGACTGTGTCATGTGCAAGAATAAAAACAGGATTCAACAAGGTGAGCATAGGAACTAATTCTGTCTGTGTGAGGCCTCAGTGTGGATTACTGTCGAGGTCAGAGTCTCAGGCAGATGTGATGGTCATGTTGCTGTAGGGCTCAGTCTGTAGTACGGTCACGTGTCCGGCAGAGAGCAGCTCTGAGGAAGAGAAGCATCGATGTGAAGAAATGGGATTGAACCAGTGTCATCTGTATTTTCATCGGATGCAAAGATAATATCATACAACTCCAACTGACCAAAAATGTTCAAATGTTCATATTAAAAGCTCTACTGCTCCTCCAGTCAACCTGGTTTATCTTGTCAATATTTGTTTTTGATTGTCGATTTCCTCACCGAGCAGTTTGTAGAGCGTGTGAGCTGCAGTGGTGCGGTCGGCCTCGGGGGGGAGCAGAGAGTCAAAGGTGACCTCAGCAAACCTCTGCAGGATGGAGGAGATCCAGCTGAGAGAGACGAGCAACGTGAGAAGAGCATGGTTATGATTCAAACTACAAGTATTGATATAAAAGAACATTTTATTACTATGTGTTGACGTGCTCACACTGTGTTTGTGCACATGTGAAACATCTGCTCTCGGATTTTTCCTCTGCTCCTACATCTTAGAGTAATGTGGAAGAAAATCCTAGTTTCACTAAGGTGTGTGTGTCTGAAGCACCTCAGCATGTCCTTGCTCTCTGTGTCAGTCTGTGCCTCGGGCATTTCAATGTTCTCCTCTGCTATAGGCTCCATTAGTGGCCGAGTGTCCTCCTGCGGAGACCTGCACACACACACACACATTGATTTGCCTTTTTTATCCATTAAGTCATCCGTCTGTCTTAACATCAGAGGCTCACCATCTCCCAGTCGGGGTGATCACATCATTTCCAGACTTGTCCTCTCTGGAAATGTCCAGGATCACATCTGATACAGCTGTTTACACACAAACAAACACACAATGAATCGCTGACAGCTTGAAATGAACAATTTGTGTATTAGGATCTGAAGAACTAATTTAGTGTCCGAGAGAGGAAGAGTTCTTACATGAGCCATCAGCGGGTTGCAGTCCTGACTCACTGGATATCTAAAAGCGAGAGTGAGAGGCAGAGCTTCGTGACACAGACACAAGGTTTATAATCTAATTTGTCTGATCACTGAACTGAACACACTCAGTTGGCAGGATACAACTGCAGGGAAGCTGTGTAACCTTCATTATTGTAGCGATAGCCTCAGAGTGCTGCCTCAGATGTTGGCATCCGAGCAAAAGTGGACTTTGGTGAGATTATTTATCAGCTCGCCCTCCCAGATTCTGTGTTTGATTTCAGGTTATTATGTGGAAATTAGACGAAAGAAAACAAAGTAACAGACTTCAGCTGGTTGAACCCACCTGCTTCATGCTCGAGTGCCTCAGTATTTCTCGGTCCTGCTCAGACTCCACTCTCGCCTCCTCCTCCTCTTCTTCTTTCTCCATCTCCCCACTTTGGTTCTTCCCATGCACAGGCAGGGCAGTGAGCAAGGCACACTGTTTCCATAGCAACTGGAGGTCAGCATGAGGGAGGGCTGTGGACGGGGAATTTGGTCACCATTTTGTGTTTTCTGCACGAGAGCTGAAGTGATGAATTTGTTGGAAGTCAGTGCTGTTCACTGAGCTGTAATCAATACTAATAACACGTCTCAGAGGCTCTGCAAGGTAGTCGCTGATTAGAAAACATCTACAAACCTTCTGATGACTTATGTTCTAGTGTCTCTTAACACAGAGGTTACAGGTCGAGTTTCTGCAACATGAACAGTATATTTCCTTATGGAAATGTGTGTTAATTTGTCAAGATAAAAACATGAGATACTTTTTCTCAGAGCATTTTCTCTGCATCACATTTCGAGATCTCAAATTTACCAGATTTTTACATTTCCCCCAAACTATTCAAGGTTTCAAATCCTTATTACTTCTATTTTTAGGGGGTACGTTGGTAGTCTATTTTTAGCATTTACTTTATTTCTCCTCTTTTTTCCTCTCTTTGTTCTGACATTGTTAATAATATTCTATAATCCATATATCTATCCAGGATTTCCTTATTCAAGAAAAAGTTCTAAAATGATTTTCAGACAACAGCACAGATGATTAAACAGGTAAATTGTTGCACTTAGTACTGACATCCACAGGGGGCGCTGAAGAGCTCAGCAGGTGTGGCCCACTTGGTCAAAGACGGCAAGTCCAGCAACACACCGGACTGAGAGAAACAAACACAATAGTAAAGTGATGCAGCAGTTTCAAATAGAATCACACAGAGCAGAGGTTTAAAGACTAATGATGGTGTCTCAGAGGAAATGAAAGAGGAAAGGAATGAAGGGACGAAGGAAAGAGTGAGGACATTGAGAACAATGGATTACAACTCCGGTGGACACCCTGATGAAGAGACACTTTGAATGTTCAATCTTTGATCATCAGTTGTTCAGTGTCAGTGAAGCTTTGATCCTCTTCAATGTGTATTTATGTGTGACCATAGACTGTTTATTAAGACTTCCACTTCCTCCCACTATCCGGAAATGAAGCCAATATGTCCCAGATATTCATACTGCCATATTGTGCAAATGAAATAATATGGAGCCAGAGTTTGTGCAGTAACGACCGAGGGATCATGGAGCCGCAGTAGTTTGAAACACGTGTGAAAATCAGTGTGATAAGAACTAACTAAAATGACAGAAACCATCTTGAGAATGTATTTGATGTGAAATGTTACTTTTTAGTTTGTCCTAACATGGAGGAGGTGGTCTTTATTACCTACTCATCTTTATAACCAGTCTATGGTCCATACAATATCTAGACTACAGTGTGTGTGTGTATGTTAGCACAGTGTTCCTAATAAAGTGCTCATTCTCTGTAATTTGTATTGCTGAGTGAAACCATCCCAGTGTGTTTCTGTACCAGATCCAGTGTCTCCGCCTTGGGTTTTACAATCTGTTCCTTCATTGCTCTGTCAGAAATCTGGACCTGAGGGTCTGCAAAGACCAGCTGACGCCTGCGACTTCCAGGAGGTCTCCTGATTGGACAGACCTTGATCTGATGTCAGAGTGAGAAACACAGAGTGTCTTTACACAACCTGTTTACAGCACTGGGTCTGTGATGGGACATCACAACTACAAGACACATACTGGAAAATATAATCTGTGTGTTGACACACCCACATGTACTTTCCATTACATGTGTCCAAAACCAAACACAGAAGGCTGCTGATGAGTCACTCTGTGGAATGTAAATCAAAGCCGACGACAACTTTGTCACTGTCAGTGTTTACGTCATGTTATGATCTGACAGCTATGGAAGATCACATGTAAATAGTTATGAAGCTTTTCATTCATTAAAATATCAATTACTTTCAATGTATTCTATTTATCTACAGATTAACACATTTTATTGTTTTTTCATTTTATGATTAGTTATTGTGGTCCTCAACAGACAAAGAGAAAAACAAACATGTTTAGATGTTTGTATGG